TACTAAATCATACTTTGATATTTGTTAGTTGAAAGCTGGAGCGATAGAAGAAAAATATATATCTATTATTACGAGAGAGGTTTTACTAGCGATAAGTTATTTACATAAGTGTAAAATTATTCATCGGGATATAAAGGGTAATTCAAAATAATCTAGTGCTGATTGTTAATAATACTTTAGAATTTAAAATAATTATAAATTTTATATTATAGCGGCAAACATTTTGCTAACGGCCGAAGGAAAAGTACAACTTTGCGATTTCGGCGTTGCTGGGCAGTTGACTGCCTCAAATGCAAAACGTACTTCGTTTGTTGGTACACCGTAAATATATGTGCAAATTAAATTATCATTTAAAAATAAATTATGTACTGACTTTTTTTTATGATTAGATATTGGATGGCGCCCGAAGTAATCACCGAAGGTGCCGCATATGACACTAAGGTTAGGCTGTTTTTTTTTTTTTTTTTGCTAGTAACTCTTAGAGATAGCATCTTATATTTCTCTCTAATCTGATTGCGAATAATCAATTGACTTAGGCTGATATATGGTCATTAGGTATTACCGTATACGAAATCACAACCGGTAATCCACCATATCATGATCAAAGTGCAATGAGAGCCATTCAACTTATTCCTAAGAATAGACCAGCTACACTTGAAGGTCCTTATTCTGCACCATTAAAAGAGTTTGTAGCCATTTGTCTCAATGAAATATCTGAAGACGTATGTTATAGTGTCAGTTTAAGTTTGTTATAGTCGCATATAACTAAAAATATTAAATTATATACACTTACAGCGCCCGACGGCAGATGATTTAATGAAAACTAAATTCATAAAGAGTTCCTCAAAGCATCCAAATGGAATATTGCGTGATCTCATTGCACGATTTGAGCAATGGAAACAAACAACCGGTTATCGACAGTCTTTTTCTGATCCATACGGAACTCCATCGAGGTAATATATAAATGTGTTATTCTATTTAATATTTGTAGATAATATCATCAACCTTGATTTATTTAGCGAAAGCGACTCTTACGATTTTGAAGATGGTCAAAAAGAAGAGGAGGATGCATGGGTATTTGATGTAAGTTAAATTCCTACATTTTGATTCATTGCCATTAATTGAGGATTAATTGGAATAACCTTTTTTTTTTTTTTTTTATCAGACAGTACAAAATACTGTTACACATCGCAAATCGCGTTCTTTAGGGTCATTACACAATAGTGGTTCAGATCAATTGTCTCCTGTTATCGAAGACGAAGAGCACATGGGGTTAACGATAGACAATAAACTAAAAACTCAGGAGAACGAAGATGTAGATCGAACAATTTTGCCCAAAGACAACACCGTTAGATATGGACGAATTCTTGCTGACGGACTTCTTTCTCCTTCTACTCCGATATTTCAACGTAAATATTCAGAGTCTCATCATCCATTACTCCAACTTTTTCAAAATGAAGAAAAAACACAACTGGACAATCTATCGAAAGAATCTTCACCAGCAGGTAGTTTTCGCAATCCAACGATAACTATACCTCCTATGAATATTATGTCTCTGATGCCGCGCATGGAGGACTCACCTTCAATATCGATGGATAATTTCCATATGAATATAAGGTTAAAAGATGATGGACTAGAAAACAACTCTTTTGACGGAAAATCGAAATCATCTTTATCGACATCAGATTTATCTTCTACTGATTCAACATTTACCCGAATTGACACACCGACTTCAATTGAAATTGTTGTTCCCACTGTTAATTCACAAACAACAACAGATTCTGCCCCCAAAATTATTTCATCTCAACCAGAGCCTAATGGCCTTCTGTCACCCACCTCTATATCAGTTACAAAACATATTCCAAAAAGAGAAGAAAGTGGTTATTTTTCGATTAATCATGGACAATTAAACGATTTACCAGAAAATAAAATATCTAATTCTTCAGTACATGATAATAATATCTCAGGAGGATTGTTAACACCGCCACCAATGGGTCATATGACTTCTAAGTCAGCCAGTGATGTATTCAATCATTTATATTCATCATCACCAGGAAAAAGTGAACCATATTAAGCATAATCCTACAAGGCATGGAAGTTACGATAATCAAATGGACCCATCTATAGGATTTCCGCTTCATAAACCAAATAGTCAAGGAAAAATGTATCCACCACAACCAGCACGTCGTGTAAGATCTGCAACAACGTTAAATGTAAGTCGTCAAACGAATGAGGATTCAGCTATAAAGTCTAGGCATCAGCAAAAAGATAGTAAGGGAAGTGAATTCGGTGGAAACTTAGGAGTAGGCATACCTAGACAAAGAGCCACTAGTGTAAGCCACGTGCTACGACCTTCAAAATCAAAAGTAAATATTTGCAATCATTGAATTATCTGAATTTGATCGATTTGAAATATATTTGTCTAATTATTTGACATCTTTCCTAAAAATATATATATTTGTATAGCTTTCACTTGTTGAGGATACTTCATCTTCGACACATTTGTTACCACCATCCCCGTCTACCGCCAAATTTCTTAATAATTCAAACTTATCTTCTCAAGGATCACCCACACGGCCAATATTTCCCAGTCAATCATCAATAATATTAAATACAGGGCCTGAGCTTCGTCCATTAAAGATGGATAATTATCGGGGTACTAGTGAAGTTTATGAAGACTTAACAAAAACTACAGACGATCTTTTACAGTGGATGACACTTTTAGAAGCTGGTATTAATCAGCTAATGACGCGATTTTGAACTTAAACAGATATTTTATCGTTTTCAATTCATATTTTAACCAATGAATTGAAGAAATTTTAATCGAATAACTTAATTATTTGAATACATTAAAGTATTTGAATTGACTATTAATACGCTAGCATAAATTTTTTTATTGGTTTATATCAAACATAATGCGAATATAATTTTTAAAATTCCTGTCAGGAATTTTACAATGTAAAAACGAATCATTTTTAAAATGCTTAATAAAATAATAAAAATAAAAAAAAATAAAATAAAAAATACGAATAAAATTAAAAAAATAAAAAATCAGTTGTAAATCTAATGTAATAAAATGATCATTTCTTTTTTAAATTTTGCGACTAACTTTTTTGCATAAATATACATGATTTTTTGGTCTTTTTCAAATCTATTACAGTAATGACACCCGTGAAAGTATGGGTAACTAAAATTAAACCGCTATTAGGCATGGCCACGGCTTTGCGAAACGTTCGCTATATCATGAAGAAATGGTATCCGACGACAATGATGTAGCGCCAAAATTTCAAGCCTGTATTGCTAGAGACCGCAAGAACTAGGACAATGAATAACGGTTGACGATAATCGTTACAAAAAGGGGCACTCTGTAATATTAAAAAATAGATCGTGACCATGTTTGCTTATGCCACGATGCTTTTGAATGGCGCGGAATAGAACGAAAGTAGCGCAGGAAGAAAAATGATAAAGTTCTTTGTAAAAGTATTAAAATATAAAGGCGGGTTAAGGCAAAAGGGTAATGCAAAAAGCCAAAGGGAAAACTATGTGATTTATTGGATGAAAAAGATCCCAGTTCGTGTTCCAGGTAAGCCGTAATTGCTCTATCAACATCAAATCTGAGGCATTTAACGAAATTCGCAAATCTATTATGAACAATCGACTCTCTCTAAGTGCTGCTCGCTGGGACTTAGAAAATTTTCTTAGTAAAAAAAAAATCCTGCACTTAAAGAGAACCTGCATTTAGAGATTATATGTTTATTATAACCTTATATAGCTTGGAACTGAAGCTAAAACTGCAATTTAGAGAGAATTTAATATAACCTGCATTTAGGGAACATGCATTTAGAGAGAGCCGACTGTACTATACAAAAAAAATAAAAAATACAAATAATAATAAAGCAAGTGTATAATTTTATTTACGATTAGGGTTTTAGGTTAGGTTAAAGTTAGAGTCAAGGAAGGCTTTTTGAGTTGAACATTTTCATTTACTTAGCTATATAAATTTTTAATATATAGTAATCGGGGTGTTCGTCTGTTTTAGTAAACTTAATAAATTGTCAGATATTAATATTGCTTATTTCGTCACGCGAATCTTTTATTCCAAGAGCTTGTTAACTGGATCTATTCACTTATCAAAAAGTTGGATACTTTTATAAAACTTCTCATAGCAAACTTAGACCTTTATTAAGCCAATATAACTCTAACAACTGATTAGACATTTTAAGGAAGGCAGGACAAAGAAAAGTCAAGGCTGTTGTTTTCGATAAGATTTGCCAAGGTACGTAACCGATTCCTTTTCCAGAATCGGTAGGTTTAAACGAGCTTCCATTCCTGAGAGTCGTTCGCAAACGTAATACTGACTTTCCTCTTGTTTGGCGCGTTTAGAAGTTATTTCAAATAATTAAAAAAGATGGATAAAATAGTGATATTATCTGCGAAGACGCGTAAATTGAGATTAAGCACCATGTCGAACATTCCAACAGACTATGTGGGCTAGGTGCTGAGAAAAGACAATTTTTTCAAAAAATGTTTTTTGCATAAATCACTTTTGTGTCTTAAGTGAAAAATGATCTTAATCTTATTCTAAATTAGTTGTATTAATAAAATTTTTGCAATAGCACTTTAAAGTTTGCATTTTCTTATGATTTTATTATAAGATTTACAACATAAAAATTGATTTTCCTCAGCACCTAGCCATGTATTATCTTTAGTTCCATGGAATACTAATCATCCACAAACCAGGCAAACACTTATTACTGCAAGTAAAGAAATTCTCATATCGACATTTAAATCATGTGTAAAATGAGATCGATGGCTTTTTTCAAAAAATCGCTGATAACCCTAATAAGCAAATTTTCTTGTAAAATATAGATCTTTATATAGGTGACGCCATTAATACCGTATTTGCGCGAAATAATGCTCGTAGGAATGATTTTGAGACAGGCAATCTAAAGAGAGCTCGTAATAATATCGATGATTTTTTAAAAATCACGCATACGGTTAAATTAATTACGTATTAGCTCTCTTTAAATTGTATGTCTCAAAATAATGACCACAAATGTTATTTTATGCAAATACGGTAAAATATATTAATCAATTGATTGTATAGTGGTGTCACCTCTGCTGCAAGAGATTCCAAAATTTTAGCTTTAACCTGGTTCTAAAGTCGCGTACATATTTACTGTATTACTGTATTAATGTAAATAAACAAATAAATTGATGTTTTGTTTCTTTTTTTGGGTTGTATCACTTGTAGAAGCCCTTAAACGTTTTCTCAAATATAAAATATTTAGTTACAGTAAGACCTCCCTAAGTGCACGGATTAAGTAAATTCTCTCTAAATGCACGGTATAGTCTGGTCCCAGCTTATAAGAACCCTATATAATTTGCTCTCTATAAATGCACACCCTCTTTAAGTGCACTCTTTTCATTTTTTTTCCTATGGTCCCGAGGGGTGCACTTAGGGAGGTCTGACTGTATCTAATATTAATCCAATATATTGCCATCGCTAATTTTGTGTGTGTTTAGTGTTTAAAGCCATTCCAATTTTAGGAACATTTAAAAAAGATGAATTATGTATACGCGCTACACGAATTTTCCTGAACAATTTTAAAAAATGTTTTTAACCGGCGGATGTTTTGAATAGTGCAATCTTATTGACTTAATCGCCATAACCGCCGGTGACAAATAAATTTCCCCATCTAAAAAAATATCTTTCTGAAACTAAAAGCTTTTGATATATAGTTATAAATCAATCATCCATCAATTAAAGAAAATTCTCAATTACCATATATTTAGTCCACTTGCGCTTGATAGGATTGATTTTGGTTCTCAAATCCGCACTAACGTGCAAGATGCAACCTTTTTTAGAAAGCAAAGCATATTTTTTTTCCAAATAACGATTAAACTGTTAAAATCATTCTTTCGTACCAGTTTACTCTTTTGTAATTTTTAAATAGCAATGCTCAATTATTCTTAGCACTTCATCGCACAAACGTAAAATGTTCATGTGCGATAACAAAATTATAGTTCAGTTTATTTGTAACAAACAAAATTCGATTTCCAATATTAAACAATTGAACAAAAACTAACTTGTGCAAAATTAATATCGTTTGAAGTTGAAAGTAAATTAGAAATATCAATGACCAATGACGAAGATATAAAGAAACGAAATCCATAATAAACAAAAATCTTCAATCATCATCATAAGATCTAATAGTGGAACAAATTTTTTTCGGAAAGAAAAAAATTTATTTAGGAGAGCGTGTTGAAGTTACAATTTAAAATAATACATAATTTATGTAATTTTACCTCGGATGAGACCAACGATCGATATCGAAAGGATGTATTGTCTCCACTTCAAATGTCAAAAACTCTTTAAGAGGATCCAAAAATTCCGATGGAAAATTAGAACTTTTTATAATGTACTCTTTATCACTTCCATCGTATTGTAATGTTTTTAATGGGAATTTTTTTCTTCGGATAAATTCACATATAACTATGAGATGAAATTTATTAATTCCACATGGTTGATTTAATCCAAGTATCGTTATTGGAGCAATACAGCCTCTGAAAAACTTCATGACGTCATCCGGGGTGGCTATGTATTCGGTATGTAAATGTTGCAAGAATATTGGAAGTGACGGTCCTAATCGTACGTAAAAGTCATGGTGATAAATTGAGACAAATCTTTTTGACACGTGACAAAACGTTAAATATTCTAAATTTTGAAGATCTTGCAACAATTCAATTAAATCGTAAGGTTGTGATGTGATTCCCAAAACAAGGTGACGAAGCTGACGGCAACGTGGTGATAACGTTGATAATACATCTAATGGTGCAGTGTCCAATATTAAAGTAGTCAACGTAGAGCTTGCAGCGGAAAAAAGTAATCGTAGATTTTCGGGATGAATAATGTTGTTTTTGCAAAAAAAATGTATAATTTGCAGGGAACTTAAATCCAAATTAAATGGTTGATCATGTTGCTTACAGCCAATAAGCACAAGTTTGTTTAGCACTTTGCAAGTGGATAGAAGATGAAAGAAAGTGTTGGGAAGGCTCGTGTGAAATATGTCCATCTCTTCCAAAGAAGTGTTACCTTGGAGGGCAGTCAAGAGTTTGTCGATTAACGGAACATTATTTCCAGTAGAAAAGTGAACTTTGATAAGTTGATCTTGGGCTTTTACTAATTTTGGTAAAAAATCATGAAATA